TTGAAAAGTTGAAGGGGCATTTGTGAGGCCAAAGGGCATGACCATGAATTCAAAATGCCCACTGTGTGTTTTGAAAACAGTTTTTGGTATGTCATCTTCATGCATCCTGATTTGGTGATAACCTGATTTCAAATCCAATTTTGTAAAAAATTGAGTTCCATTCAGCTCATCCAGCTGTTCATCAATTATAGGAATAGGGAACTTATCTTTAATTGTAGATTTGTTGAGATTTCTGTAATCTATACACATCCTCCAAGTACCATCATGTTTTTTTACCATCACCACTGGAGAAGAAAAAGGACTCTTGCTGGGTCTTATAATCCCTTTCTGGAGCATATCTTCAACTTGTTTTTCAATCTCTTCTTTTAGGAAATGAGCATGTCTATAGGGTCTAATATAAATTGGTTTTGTACCCTCTTCCAGTGAAATTCTATGATCTATATCTCTATGAGGAGGTAGGTGAGGCAGTTCATTAAATATTACCTGAAATTCTTGTATCAGTTGGTGCATGTCCATAGGTAGATTTTCAGCAACATTTCTTGAAGTAGATTCCTGTAAATTCACACTACATAACTGGATCAAATACCCTTCCTCTTGTTCCCTAAAAGACTTATCAATGGCCTTCTCATTAACCAATTGCATTTTTTCTGGAACTATACCCTGTAGGGTTCTTTTCACCCCTTCACTCATGATCTTTTCACCCCTTCACTCATGAAGGTTACCTGTAATTTCTGAAAATTCAAGGTGATATCCTCCAGTGTCTTCATCCAGTCTGCCCCCAAAACAATTTGGCTACCCCCCATAGGCATGACTAGCAAATTGATTTGAATTTTAACTCCCTGACAATCCAACATCACTCCCTGACAAACTCCAGCTCATTTAATCAACCTATCACTAGCCACCAGTACATTAAAATCAGTAGATTCTGTCACATTTAACCCCAGCCTTTTGACTAATTTGGCATTAATAAAGTTGTGAGTTGATCCAGAATCTATCAAGATACTGATTGCTTGATTCTTGTAGTAACCCACTACTCTTATAGTATGAGAGGCATTAATCCCACTCAAAGCTTGAACTAAAATAGATGGAGCTCCTTTAACTAAACTTTCAGCTAGTTCAACTGCCATAGTGTCTTCTTCAGTCTCCTCATAATCAATTTTATTTCCCACAATACCTCCTTCTAAAATGCCTTCTAATATAAACAGTTGTTTTCCCTTACACTGGTGTTCTCTATGCCACTTCTCATCACAGGTGAAACATAAATTCTGACTCCTCCTTCTTTGTATCTCTTCAGGGGTCATTTTCTTGAATTGAGAAGTTGAACGAGAATTCTCTTTAACAGGGATATTATGTGGGGTATTTGTTGAATGTCCTCCTGAATTGTACACATTCTCTAGTTTCCTCTAGGCTTTCTTTCATTCTTTTGCTTATCTTCAAACAGCTTAGCTAGTGAAACTGCTCCTTTCAATGAATTGGGTCTGGCTGCTGCCACCTCATACCTCAACTCATCTTGAAGGCCTCCAATGAATCTTTCAAGAATATGTCTCCTAGAGGGTTGTTCATCTAATAGACCTAATGCTTGCTCAAATTTTCCAAGATATTCTCTGACTGTAGTAGTTTGCCTCATGGTAGAAAATGCATCATATGGTCTAGAAAGTTCATTTGGACCAAATCTAGTAATTAGTTCTTCTTTAAACACATCCCATTGATTAAAATCTTCAATGTTTCTAGCAAGCCATCTATACCATTGTAAGGCTTCATCTCTCAAGTAAAATGAACAAACCTTGACCCATTCATCATTCTTGATATCATAATAATAAAAAATTTGCTCAGTTTGGTCTAACCATGCTATTATGTTTTCATTGCCAGAAAATGAAGGAAAATCTAAACGTAGAGACTTAGGTTGAACCAGTTTCTGGTTGCTAAAGGAGGAGTTCTTTTGTGTTGAAGAGTTACCAAAGCTATGAGTCAGTTGAAACTCTTCTTGGAAACTAGCATCTCTTCGATTCTGGAAGTTGTGCCCTTGATCATAACTTCTCCAGCTTGAATCTTGAACTCCTTGTCTGGAAATCTCTCTGTCTCCTCTTGAACCTGAACTCAAGATTTGATGATCCTCTCTTGACCCAACACCCAGAATTCCTTGGTTAGGACCCTTGGAGTTCTTGAATTCTTGAACTAAAAGCTTTATTTGAGAAGCTAGATCATCCAATTTTGTTGTATTCTCCCCCAATTTGGATGAATTTTCCTCCAATCTGGTTGAGGTTTGCTGATTGATTGAACCTTGCTGTCTCATGAATGACGTCTGTTGTAAAATTGCATCCTCCACTCGAATGAATCTTTCCTCTTGAGTCGTTTCTTCAGCAGAGGTCTCCTCGTGATCGCCCAAGATTTCTTCAGCAGCTTCTTCAGCTTCTAAATGCTCTGATACCAATTGTGAGGCTCGAGAGCCTCGGTTGATTCTCAGGTGGTTGTTTCTGACCATGGCTGAAGTTGAAGGAACTTGAGAACAGAATGCAGGAAGAATTGAGATAGAGAGAAATAGAATTAGAAGAGAGAGGAATAGAATTCAGAATTGAGGAGAAGAAGATGGTTTTACATGTAGGTCAGTAGGTTGTGTTGCACGAATCAATATACTTTCTGTACAGTGATTCATTGCCTTTGATGAATGACTGGATTATCCCATGTTATTATATGGAGCAGATTACAGTAGATGGTTTTACATGTATAATATTGTAATTATTTAATGGGCATACAAATGAAGTATTCTAAAATTTATTTTTTGTGTTCTTTTGTTTGTGTAATTTTACTGTATCTTATGAGTTAGTTATGTTTATGTTGGCCGTGTCAAAAGTTTTTGTAATTGAGATTCTACAAGTACAATGGAGGATTAACAATTAGAATCTTCTTATTTGATATGATTATCTTCGTTTTCTTATCTCTGTCGGAAAATCCTCTTATATTCGTTTATTGTAGGACTAGAAAGACCTTTGAATTTAGACTTTGATTTTGAGACACTGATATAAAAAATAAATGATAGAAGATCTGATTGTAGGTGGCAAGCATAGAAATGTAGATCATTCGTGTAAGGATAATCTTTATAAAAAGATAGTTACTAAAGTGAATATATCCAATTTTGAAACTATCAACACTGAAAAGGTTGAAAGTTTCTTATAGAGGTATTAGTTTATGTGTAAAGGTAAATATTTTAATGTTCATGCTAAATTTCAAAAATTCTCAATGGTCAAAATAAAGGCAAATAATTTTGTACATTGACAAGTAATATATAAAGTAGATAATTTAATGGATAGGCAAATTTTTAAAAAATACTTAACAATTCAGAAAGGTAAATGTTTTACATACGAAGGTAGCCATTTCTGGCAGGCTGTGTGCCTTTTCATCCTCAGTGAAGGGTCTGATATCTCTGGTTTTGGAACAAAAAAATTGGCGACCAAATTAAGTATGCTCAGCAGCTCATGTTAAGAATCTCGTTTTTCCAGATTGACAAGGATCATGAATATAGGCAGTTCAAGAGCAGGTCTGTTTCACTTAGTGTTAGTGATATTGGGAATGCAGTATACATGGGAAACACATCGACAAGTATTCCTCTTGACATTTGTATTGGGTGTTTTAAGTGTCTGAGCTGAGTACTACTGTCATTTGTCATGCGTATGTACCTTGTTATCACTGTTGCTAAAATTAGGTATTATCCTTGTGCAGAATTGCTTCCAATTGATCGTGTCAGAGCTACTCACCGGGTTCTTCTCAGCAAGAAGTGTATTGTTTGCACCACGAAGATAACTGACTGACTGTCACGACGGAGACAGTGCATCCAAAAATCGCCTTTTCCTCCTTATTTCAGAAAATTGTAGCTAAAAATGGAATGGAATAAGAGGAAGTCCATTCCGGTATCTGTTGAATAATAGTTTGGATTTGATCACAGATAAATGTTTGTATATGATGAAAGATTTAGTGTACTGTGAAAGTGACTTGTGCTGAAAAGGCCAGCAATTTGAAAATGAGCCTCCAGCTTCTATTTATAACAAATCCAGCAGCTATGTAAAGCTTCTGTGATTGAATCATATGGAAACAAGTGTTAACTACAGGAGGCAATTGAACAAACCTTAAACATGCCAGCCTGATTCTGTCCAAAAACCAACATGTAGATCTCATCAGCATCTGTAGTCCTCTGCTCTTCTACAGATCTGCAGGCAGATGCTTGTAATCTCAAACCAAGCAAAATTAGCATCATCATGTTGGTTATCGGTGTTATTAATTTTACTGCTCAGTCTTAATCAGAGGCGTTCTTAAGTTCAAAAAAATTTCACTTTTAGTTTGTCAAGTTATGAGCCAGACCTCATTGGCAATTGATGTTCTTTTAGTTAAACTGCATTTTCTTTCATGATACATCTGATCAATCATATGTACAGTTTTCTTGTTTTTAAACTTAAATATAAAACTTGACCACTTTATATAGCACAAAATGTAGCTCATTCTCAATGTTTATTTCGTCACTGGAAACTAGCTGGGAGCCCTCATGGTAAAAGTAATTCTTTTGAAAGTCATTCTTGTTAAACCGTAGATCATCGAAAGATATTAGCGTCGTTGTTTGAGTATCCCAAAAGGGTGTTTGTTTCAGCCAAAAACCCCAAGAAATTGATTTCTAGTCTCTGATACCACCGGCAATCGATCAGAACCACTCAAAAAGACTTCCTATAAAAATGTTCCCCCCCCCCCCAAAAAAAAATGTCACTTTTCATGAAAGCCATTTCAGAGCTTTTAGCTCGGAAATGGGTGAAAACCTATTATTTGAGCATTAAAATATAAAAAATGCTATTTGGCTCGCGGGTTGGGCAACTCGCGCCCAACTCGAAGTTAGGGGGTGGGGGGTGGGCCCCACGAAGCTGTATTTTTTTATCCCCTATTTCTATCTTTCTCTTTCTTAAAATGCTATTATGGAGAGAGAGAGGGGTAATTGTACTTTTTTTATCCCCAATTTCTTTCTCTTTCTTTTTCCTAGAAGGGCGTCTTTCCTTTATTTTTTTTCCTGTTGCCAAAGATGACCATGATGAAAATACGTTTCCCACCCCTTTGCTCTGATGGTGAAACAAACAAACGACTATTCAATTCTGGGAACAAATGGAAAACTACGGAAGTACGCTATTTTTTTTAATTAACCAAAATACCTATTTCCATAATTTTATGGAAATGAAACAAACACGCCGATGAACGAAAGAAAATTACGGATGTCCAACTGAGCCGAGCTCAACAACTGAACGGTAATGGCGCTGAGAATCGAAGAAATGCGAAGATCACACTGGAACAGAATGGTATGATTTCAATGCCACCCTTTAAAATTACTACATCATAATTTGCTGAGTTGGCTGTGAGATTGAAATTTGTTGGTCTATGAAATTAATCAAACCATGAATATGATGCTTTGATTTTTTTTTCTTCCTATTCTTGCGTATGACATGTTTGTTGAAATGCCCAACTCAACTACCCAAATCGAACTGTCTTTCCCTTGAGCCTGCAGAATCAGGACTAGTTGCCTCAATCTCTGATTCTTTAGATTCTTTAGGTAATTAGACTAAGACCTAGATCAATTTATGGTTTAAAAGTCACTAACATATGCGTGTGCTTTACGACTGTTCTGTGGTACATCACGCAACATGATGTAGGCGATTAGTTCATTTTTATTTGTATGTTCTTTTCTTATATGTATATTAGCTATTCTTGACCTCTTGATTTGGACTAGTGATGCTTGTTCACACGCCAACCTAGCTATATCGAAAGAAGTCAACTCTGAATATTTAGCTTAACTAGTTGTCAGTAGAAATCTTTAAGCTTAGGGAGCATGCAGGTCCGCGTTCTCACCATATGGCAATATATGTTGCACGAGAATATTCTACTTTCATGGTTTTGGAGATGAATGTTAGGATGCCGATGTCTTTTTTGCTTTTGGGAGAGTTTACAACTTTGATATCGTGTGAATGTCCATATCGACTGTTTTCTATTTTGACGAGTGATAGCTATTTTATGATAGGTTAAAGAAGTCTTTTGGTATGTGATTACAAGCGTCGAGAGCATGTCAGCTTCTTGGAATTTTCGTAGGATATGTAATAGGAACAACAAAGAAAGTGAAGTTAGAAAAGAGGAGGGAAACAGTCAAATGTTTGGAGAGAGCACAACTAGCGCAACAGAAGAGGAAAAGAGAAGAATTCTAAAGACGTAGGACATTTCTTCATCGCGTTCCTTTGCTTTTCTTTGAACCGGCCTGAGTTTTCTATCAAACTTGTCCTTGTTTGAGCTGCATGATCTCCCTTATGGTTGATACCTATAGTATTGGTTACAAATGTATACAGTTGGAGGGTTTATCAGGGAAAGGAAAATGACTGCTTGATAGAATCAGATAGATGCATTATCCTTATGTTTCTACAGAATACTGCAACGATAAATATAAATCCACAAGATTAAAAAGTTATCATATAAAAATGATGAGATTTAACACTTCATATACCTCTTAAAAGCTACACAAATCTTAGTAACTAGCATGGAGTATATCGTAAAACATTATTAACACATTCTATGTCTTGTCAAGCCCTGCAGCAAGCGTTATAACCTTGAATAGTGATTTTGGTTTCTTAGGCCTTTATGAATCACAGATAATTTGCTTGTATATCAGCAGAAAAGGAAAACATAGAGCTAGAGTTAACAATTACTTACAACCATCCTAACTTCAAATAAGTTTCTTACATGTGCTCGTATGTTTACTTGAATGAATACCTGATAAATCAAACAATAACAAGTTTTAGGAACTGAGACATTTTTGAACTGGGCAGAATTCGCTCCAAATCGATGACCAAACCTAATGAGAAGCAACTGCCATAGCCTGTCTATCAAACCCAGTCCTCAACCCTCTGCCACTTCCACCACCACTCCCGAAACTCAGTCTGCTACCATTTTTCTTCACGTCCTTCTCCCACATTTCCCTGCTTACTTTTTGACCAACCGTTAGTTTTTTTTGCTTCTCAGTAGCAACTGGGATCGCAGAATTGACTCCATTAATGCCGATCACAGGACCTCCATATCTTGCAGCTCCACCTTGAGATAAAATCCTCACTATTCCTGCATACCCAAGAGAGTTAGCAATCTGCATAGCAGTTACACCTTTCATTGTCCTCGCCTCGAGATCTGCTCCACGCTTTACGAGCAGTTTGACGGCCTCTACTTGCCCTGCCTCAACTGCACAATGCAAGGCTGTATACCCCTTTTCATCCGTTGCACCCACTTCTGCTCGTCTCTCCAATAGAGCTTTCATTACCTCTACTCTCCCTTTAAATCCTGCTCTCATTAGAGCAGTCCATCCATGCTGATCTCTTCCATTAGCTGCCGCTCCCCTGTCGATCATTTTCACCACTAGTCTTGCTTCTCCTTTTCTTGAAGCCAATGCCAACTCATCTCCCAACTTCAGCATATCAAACAGTCTTCCATGTCCCCCTTCAGCCGCTGCATCATATGATGTCTTTCCTACAAAATTTCTTACTTCTTTGAGTCCTGCACTCCCTTTGGTTAACAGAAGTTTTACCATTTGCTCATCTCCGGAAGAGGCAGCTACGTGGAGAGGCGTGTCACCGCCAGGCCCACCGCGAATGTCAGCACACCGCCAGCAAGCAGAAACATGCTGCACGGGTCACAACGATGCGTCGCTCCACTGCCAGCATTGCGCGCGAGTTCGCCCATCAGAGGTTGGAGGCGTTTACACTGGTACCTTTCAGCAGGAGGAGCCCCATCGACCTCCAATCCAGCAGTGGCAAAGTGGAGCGCACCCCATGAAGATGTTGACAATCTCTCAGTTAGGGCTCCTTGAGCTAATAGTAGCTCCACAATTAGGGTTTCTCCTGCTGCCGCTGCTGCTTCGAGTGGCGTGTGGCCAGCTCGGCTTCGAGCTTCCACGTTAGGATTGAACTCAAGAAGTAACTGTACTAGATCTGCACGACAACGTGAAATGGCTAAATGGAGTAGAGATTGACCCATGGAGTCTACGGAATCGACAGCATTCCATTCTGGATCACTACGCTCTACGACTTCACGAACTTGATCCAGTGAACCTTCGATTACCAGTCGTGTCAACACAGCTGAACCAACGAAGAAAGTTCTCATGCCGCTATCTGTAAACACTTGCTTCTTCTTGTTTGTAAACCAGTCACTTGGGATAGAGTCAAAAGTGGAGGCTGGGTTCTTGAAGGCAGCACCGGGGACGACTACACTGTCAAGGAGGAATGAGTCGTTGGAACTGGGGATTGATTTAGGGAGGGGTGAGTTGAAGGGAAGAACATAGGTGATTTCTACAGTGAGGGTGGCAAGGGGTGCTATTATGCCAGATTGAGGACGAATTGTGTATCCACTTCGGTTCAGGGGTTGAAGACGAAAGGCCACTGGCATGGTGTACATGACGTTGCGGAGGGTAACTTGTCCATAACATCGTTGGCCAGGTTCAATTCGGATGGATACCTCGTTTGATGGCTCTAAACTTATTAGTCTGTCCATTTCTATTGTTCAACTTCCTTAGCAGCAGGAAAAGTTGGCTGCTTTTTGTTGGGAATTTGAAGAGCTCTTAGACTTAAGGGAAAAATCTTGACGGCTTTTGCCCATCAAGAGACTGGAAGAGAGGAGGAACTGTGGAGGAAGTAATGGGGGAGGATGTAGTCCTTTAAAGGTAGGGAGTTGCCGGCCCCTAATGGGAGGAAGTCATATATGGTGGTGGGAAGAACAAGGGCATAAACTTTATTAGTTGAAATTCTTCTATTTCCTTCTAGTTCTTGGAGGTCATTTTCTTACCATCTAGTAAGCAACACAAAGAAAAAGACATATGATATTGTATATAAACAGAATCATTCTGCATAGTTTATTCATGAATGAAGTCTCTAAGTTGGTAGCTAGTCACCTACCATAGAGATTAGTGAAATACAATGTGGGATCTGGATGGTTGATTCCTTGGTTCTTTTCAGGGGAAATTTTTAGAATAAACCTTTTTGAAAACAATATAAGCAAAATCGACATTTGATTATAAAATTAGCAAAATCGATCTCATTTTGGTTTGCTGGCCAAAATGAGGTTGATTTTGCAAAACAGAAGTTTTAGTTTACACGGGAGTACGGGACTACTAGTCCCGTGTGATTAGCCACTATTTAGGAATCAACGTGTCTTCTAGTGCTACGCCACTAATGAAGATTGGTGTGCTTTAATTACACGGGATTACTGGTCCCATGTAAACGTTTTTCCAACAAAATCGCGGTTGATTTTTCTAATTTTGCTATAACAAGGTCGATTCTGCTAATATTAATTCAAAAATGGTCCTTTTTAAAAATTTGTCCTTTTCAATGTGATCAGTATAATCGATACAAAATCGTGATATGGTACTCTATTTTCATTTGTTGTTCTCTCTGTATTTAGGCAATTGAATGAGATTTGAGTTTGGAGAAATGCACAGTTTGTTGATTGGGTCGTTAATGAATTAAAAAAATGGATACCTAATTGAAAATTTTGCAAACTCCTTTCACATACATTCTTTCACCTGTCCCTTACTGCTTGCCTCTTTTGATTGAAGCATTCAAAAGTCAAGATTTAGGTTTTTCTTCTGAACATAAATGACTGTATTCACTATCTTATTCTATTGTACTTGGGAAGAATTTAAGGAGTACGGATAGTTAGGTAGGATATATGCCGCTTGGAGGTAGTCTAGAAGAGACAGCCATTCAGCAAATAACATATTAGAAGAAGTCTCTGATTTGTTCTTTTCTAGCTAAGGTTCCTCTGGGTTAGTTCCTTCTAGTCAGACATTGGTTGATCTAACAATTGATGAGTGTTAAAGCACTTATTAAGGTTTTCTATTTTCCTTACCATCTCTGCCCAAACTGTGTAGAAAAAATTGAGCATGGAGTCTCCAGAACTAGAATTGTGCATCTGTCAATGATTTTATCAAGACGTATGTAGAAAATAATTGTCAAAACTATCTAACCAATATTGTGCAATTAATGTCTACCATCTTTTCTTCATTCTTAATTTTAGATTTTTGTTATTGTGCAATTCGTCTACCATTTTTCCTTCACTCTTAGTTTTAGATTTTTTGTTTGTTCATCAGATTGATGTAGTTATTGTGATGCTATCCAGTTCTGCTTTCCTTTCCTTTTTCTTCACCGATTTCATCTTTCTATACTCAAAGCAGTTTAGTTTATTTCGATAAGTTAACAAAGGATTTAAAAAAGGAAATACTCATCAAAGATTGTTTCTCAATAAGGCGGAAACCTACCACCCTCTCTCATTTAGTGGAAAGTTATAGCAAAATGAACTTGTGCATCAGTATGGAAATTGGCCGAGGTATGTGTCTCGCACATTAGAATCATAGATATTATTCGATTTCACATCTAATTTAGACTCAACTTTTAGATCTAATCTGCTCAACTTTTTTACTGTTGAATGTAATGCAATATAGATCTACCAAGCAGTGGGTTAGAATGAGATTATATTGAATGTAGTACGTGTGAATTGTGACAAAACAATATAATAATTATTTCACGATCAATATACCATATATTTCTGTTCTATATTGTTTTCTGACTTAGAACTTCTAAATTTCACTTTTTTGTTAATTGAAATAACTTCATGGTATATGGCATGTGGGGGCATCACTTTAAAGAACACTCAATGTGTTGCCCTATGCAGAGGCGATCCATCTACTGAATGGGTTGTTCAAATCATTTATCATGTTATTGCTTGAAAAGAAAGTTTAAATGTGCAGAAGTAGATGTACTCAAAATTGCAATCTTTGTGAGTTATGGATTTAGAGAAAATGAATCTATTGAACTGATGTCCAAATTCTTTGATGCAGAGTCACTTGAGGAGCAAACATCAATGGTTTGAGGTTGATGCATGAATATCAGATATGAACTTGTGTCACAATACTCCTCCTTGGTCTCAGACTTACAAACCTGAGGAGCAATTCAATATCTTTAGCATATATTCCAAGATATCAAATTCCATATTATAAATGCCTGTCCACACTCTCAGTTGATAGTGTCAAGAATGTTCAAGAAAGAAAAAGAAAGGTGAGATATCAACTTTCTATGGTGATCTTCTGTTGTCAGTGCTCTTTTTTTTTCTTGTTATTACAAATTCTTTAGTTATATACATTTTTAAAAATAGTTCTTTGAAGGTACTCTTATATTTTGTTTATAGTTTTATTAGTTATGAGGAAGGCATGATTCAAAAAGGTTAAATTTTCATATAGTTAGGAGTTAATATTACTTCTATTTTATTAATTTGAAATTAACTCCTAAAATGAAGTGTGTTTTGTTTATCGTTAAATACATTAATGTATAGTGCTATAATCATTTGGATTGCTACCTTTGAGCTCACTGGATTAATAGTTATTTGAAATATGCTCCATGTATGATCTGATTGGAAGGTCTGAAAGATAACAACTCAAGTGAACAGGGATTTCGAAAATTACACGAACTGGTATTTATAGAAAATCATCACAATTTATTTTTAATCTAATATATATTTCGTCCCTGTAACTTGTAAATTAAGAACAAGGAAGGAAAACATCGAGCAATGGAAATTTTTGATGGCATTATTCAAATAAAACTACCCATACCTTTTTATTACACATATTCACATTGATATATCTTATTTTATTTTATTTAAATCCTGTGCTAATGAAAAATAGGAGATAGTATGACTGGAGCAGAAAGTAAGAACATGGAGAAGGCGATTCATGAAGAAGATTCTTCCAGTTCTGGTAATGCAGTGAAGGGGCCAACATCAACATTTATTCCTATTGCACAGCTCATATGAAAGTAGTCAATCTCTTTGCCATGTGATAATCTGTACTCCATGAAAAAAATTGAGAAGAAATTGAAAGTAAGAAATTAATTCTATTTTTTTATACTATATATCAGTTACATTTGGGTTACAGAAAACGTGGGGCAAATGTATATAATGCAGGAAAGAAAGATTACTCGTCTTCAGATGGTTGATCACTTTGGGAAGATAATCAACGACGACGCTGTATTTGTGTCCAACATCAGAGCTCACAAAAAAAGAGGTTTGATTCTGATTTCCATAGTACTACTTACTTTTAAGAAGTTGTTGTTATGTTCAAGAAATATAATATGCAATTTAGGAAGCTATTTAGAGATTATTGGTCGTAAAGTATGTTATTTAAATTTCTGTTCTGAACTTTCTATTACTAAGCAAGCTTTTTGGATTAAAAAAAAAAATTTCTATGGAAATTTGGAATTGTTTACTATCTATTCTATTAGGATCAGAGATCAACTTAAGATGAATATTAATTCTATAAAAAAATCTTTAGTGGAAAAAATTAAGTTTTTTTAATGAATTCTTGTGGTTAAAAAAGATACTACTCCTTCATAGCAAAATAATTGACAATTAACAAAGATGACTCGGGATAATTGATTCATTTAATGGATTCAAAAAATTGGAATGAAGTTTTTTGATTGTCAGTGAATTGTTCCTATTAATGGTTTTAGAGATATCATTTATCTATGTGCCAATTAACTGGATCAGATTTTTTTAATGATAATCGTGATTTCTCATCTATTAACAATGTTTTTAGATACTTAGACATATATTCTTTTCATTTGTTTGAGCCAATAAAAATGTTAAATTTCTATGAAATCTTACTTTCTATGGGGTCAAATTGCAACCTTAACTGAGAATCAATTTTTGCGACCTTAACCTTAAGAGTTTCCCTCAAGTTTAATTGCAGATTGATTGTTCATTAATTAAAGTTTTTTTAAAATATTCTCATCAATTGATTAGCTTGCCTCTATTTTTCTTTTCCTGCAGCGGATGGTTGCTTC